CTGTGCCACTATGAAGCAGGCCTTACCCCAACTCCCAGCTCTCAGAGCTTGACACTCATGCCCTAGCTTGCCCGGTCTCTGCGACATCACATTCCCCCTTTCCTTTCCTCCAATAGGCTTTTTGGCCTTGGCACTTTCTGTTCCCTTTGCCTGAGACGCTGTCTCCCCAAATCTGTGCTTTTCGTGCTTTTGTTTATCATTCTGGCTGGGTTGGTTGCCAATTTTTTTTTTCTGTATTCCTCCATCTTTGCCCTTCCTAGCACCTATCCATGAGTTCATGGATGTGCCCGTCTTCATGTTTATCGCCTAACTAGGCCCGATCTTCCTGTGAACTGCTTTCAGGCAGTGTTCACTTCACTTTACAGAAAACTGGGCCTCGGAGAAAAGTAACCAGCCCCAGGGGAGCTGGCAGAGCGGAGCCGGGCGAAGATTTGAAAGCCATGGAGGGGGAGAGTCTGTTTGCAGCCAACTGGAGAAGTAGGGCCATGGGGCACTGTCATACCCGCCGCCTGTGATTACCCTTTTGATGCTGCTGCCGCAGCAGCTCCCAGGTGTCACCTTCTCCCTTGTCGCCGAAGTACTGGTAGTCGGGGGAGAGCTGGACAGCTGTTGTCCGCACCAGGAGTATCAGAGGCAACAGCACCAAGGCCGGCTGGTGCCGGGCCATGCCGGACGCCAACCGTCTCCAGCGCGTTCCGGGACCCAGCCACGCGACTAGTTTGCGGCTCACGCACTACCCCACAAGCTAGCGCAGTGGTGGCGGCGGGCGGCCGAACTGTCCCCTTCACCGCGCAGGCGCAAGGCCCAGCCGCGCCGCTCCCCCTCCCTTGCCGGCGCAGTGGACCTGACCGCTCGGCTCGCCAGCCCCGCCCCAGCCCGGCGCGTCACGGTTCGGGCGGTGCATAAGAGACTCCGCGGCCCAGGGCACACTTGGCTTTGAGAACTCGAGTCGGTGCGTCTGTTCTTCAGCGTGTCCGTCTCTTGCACACGCAGGTATGGACACTTGGTGTACATCTGAATGGGGGTGAGCCCCCTTCCTGAGTTCTGGCCCTATCAGGACCTCTCTGCTGGCCGCCTTTGTTTTCCATCCGCCATAGTGGCTGCCTTTGTCCTTGCGAGGGAAACTGAGGCCCCAGCCTTGGAGTACGGCCCGATAGCCGGGCTCCCCACACCCTGCTCCAGAGGTTCTCGACATCTCCTCTGGACCGGGGCTTGCGCCACCGCGCTCAGGCTCATTCACTGGTGGGGCCTAGGGACAGTGGCCCTGCCACTTTTATTCTGCTTAAGGGGGCGGGTCTCCGGCAGCCTCCTGGCCTTGTAGAACCGGCAGCGGGGAGGGTGAGTATGAGCGCCGCGGCCTCCTCTGCTCTGTCTCTGTAACTGGGCCCAGCACGCAGTGTGACCTTGGAAAGGGAGGACAAAGGGTCTTCCCTTGTGCACTGATCGGCGCGGGTCTTGGCTTTCAGTCATGGCCTCTGGAAACGCGCACATCGGAAAGCCCGCCCCTGACTTCACAGCCACCGCGGTGGTGGATGGTGCCTTCAAGGAGGTCAAGCTCTCTGACTACAGAGGTGAGACGGCCTGGCGGGGGGTCCAGGTGGGGGCGGGGCCCACGGATCAGAGAGGCTGGGTCCTAATTTCTCATCTGTTTCCCTCGACCCCAGGGAAGTACGTGGTCCTCTTTTTCTACCCACTGGACTTCACTTTTGTGTGCCCCACGGAGATCATCGCTTTCAGCGAACATGCTGAGGACTTCCGCAAGCTGGGCTGCGAGGTGCTGGGTGTCTCTGTCGACTCTCAGTTCACCCACTTGGCTTGGTAGGAGCAGGGACCAGGGAGGGAGGATGCAGCTAAGCTCATACCGTAGAGCCAAGCCTGTGGCCTCCCTTTCCTCATCTAGAAAAGAATGGAAACAATGACTCCTAAGTCCTTAAGGATGGATGATGACAGTAATTAACATTTGGCAGCTAGATGCATGGCCCGTGAAGTTGCAGATGCTTTATCTCTCTCAGTTCTCAGAAGACAGGCTGTATTGTCCTATTTCATGAAGGTGGAAACTCCAGTTCACCAAGTGAAGGGCTGGGCCCCAGGACACAGACCGAGAGGAGGATGGGGACTCTGACATTAGCTCTCTACTGCTACTGCTCCAGCCATATGAAGCCACTTGGCTGGACATGGCAGGATTCTTGTCCCAGCTATGGGGATATAGCCCCTACACCTCCAGGGTGGGGCGGGTGGGGCTTGCAGGACCTGCTCTGAGGCCCCTTATCTGTGGTTTCCAGCACTCCCACTCCAACCCTTATCACTCTCAGGCTCATAGGGTGAGGACCCTGCTTTGTCAGACATCCTGAGGTCCCAACCCGGTCTCCCCTATCTCCAGGATCAACACCCCGCGGAAGGAAGGAGGCTTGGGCCCCCTGAACATCCCCCTGCTTGCTGACGTGACCAGAAGCTTGTCCCATAATTATGGCGTGCTGAAAAGCGATGAGGGCATTGCCTACAGGTATGGAGGGGATGCACAA